AACTATGCGTGGACAAAATCTGTCACAGGTACTCTGCACACACTGTCACCAAAACCCCCTTCTCAGATGCACAGTACAACATTTTTAGAATAACTCTTTCAGGAGGAGGTCAGTCATAGACAGACATAATTAATGCTAGAGAGCAAAAGAGCAGTGATCTGGTTGTTATGGTCTCACTGCTTTTAACAAAGTAATGTGTGGCCACCTCAGGGCAACACAGCCTGGGCTTGTAGGGTGGATGTAAGAGAGACTGAGGAGATCTGGGTGCAGATGTGACCAATTAATATTTATTCACAGAATATTCTCTGAATTAATATATACATACTAATGTGTAGGCAGACATATGACTAGCTTGTGTGTAGGGTCCCTGTTTCCTCTTAGAGAATGGGAAGAAAATTTAGGAATAACATCAGATAAACAGGCCCCTGGGTCAAAAATATTGCCAAGAACCTTCCTTTTCCTTCCAAATGGGAAACTTGACACTCAGAAATTTATAAATATATCCTGAAAGGAGTGAGAGGGAAAGACAGAGCAATGCAAGAAAAATTACTGGACAAGAAGAGTGCTTAGCCACAGCTGGTGGAGATACAGGGGTATGAGATGAGACCATTTCTTTCTACTGCTGCAATGAGCGAGAGGCTCCCCAGGTGCTGCCATTGAGACCAGAGCTGCTGAAGGAGCCAGACAATCTCACTCCCACAGACTGAAAGGGAATCCCACATGGATATGGAAAGCAAAACCTAACGAGAGCCAGTGCAGTTTGTAAAAACCCAGCAAGTCAGCAAAACTGGAATAGGTAATGAAGACAGCTAAAACAAAATAGAAAGCGCAGTTGCTGGGACATGAATTCTGACTTGTTGAAACAGAATATGACCCTCTGAGGTAACTGCTGTCTGTAGGTCTTCCTGCTTTCTTCTTCAGGAAGCTCTCATCCTTATGCAGCCTTCCAGGTAAGTCACCTTACTGATCACTTCCAACATAATAAAATTCTCAGTCTGTGTTCAGGAGAAGGTCATCAGCAAGAAAATAATTTTGAAGCTCTCTGAACACTATGGGACCAAAAGAAAATTAGTTTTTCACTTTCTGAACATGCTTCCCTGCTAGAAGGACATGACCTGTCCTTGCTATCAGTGACAAGGCAAATGGTGCTGCTATTCATGACTGAAAATTTAATTTCTAGGAACCTCAAGTAAACTCCTCTTATTCCTTCCTCCATCTGGCCACTACTCATAAAGACTAGATGTTTAAGAAGAACTTAAGAAGTTGAACTTAAGAAGAAAGGAAACCAAAGAAACCTTTCTAACCAGTAAACACATTTAAATTCTTTTTATATTTCCACACAGTCTTCTTCTGTCATGGGACTGTGCTGAGGTAGGAAGGTTATTATTAATATTAGCTATTTTTACCAGATTCCCCTTACAGAGGTTACAGTGAAAGCTCTTAAAAGAAAAGGACAGGGTTAGTAGAGAATAGAGGCCATAAAGTCCAGAGCTGGGCTGGGCTGGCTCACTTGGAATCTACTTCCCGGCAACTTCAGCCAGCTTGTAGAAGAACCCAGAGAACTTTTAGTCTGCATGCTGCTCCACATGGCTGGCCTCAGCTTCAACAAGGGAGCAAAAATCAAGAGATTTAGAATTTGTTTCTTAAAGCATTGATTTTCCAGTCAGGCTTCAGCCTATTAGTGTTAATCCTTTTCCACCTCTCACACTCCATAGCAAACAGTTGCTAAGCGTTGGTGATAATGAGCACCAGCCTAGAGTGAGCTCCAGAGAATCACTTAGTTACATGGGACTGTATTTTATCTATGTGCTGTACCTTGACAACACTGTTTAACTAACAGAATGTCTAATTATTAGCTACACAAATCACTCATCTTCAATTACATCAGGTTTCTGTTTGCTCTTGCTGTCACATTCCCACAACATTATCATTATTAAAATTTAAATGCACATGTACTAACTAAAAGCAAATATATAAAAAAAGCAAGCCCAAACTACCAGCTAAAAAATAGTTTTCAAGACTGTTTCCAACTTGCATTTCTGTGAAGTTAAAAAGGTACAATCCTTGACAGGCTCATCACTTTTCACTGGAAAACAAATAGTAATTTTCCACCAAGTCAAACAGTCTTTCAATAAGGTGGTTCCTACTCTACTCTCAATCTAAATGTTGTAGTATTTCACTAATGTGTAAATTCCAGTAAGTACAAATAACCATTTATCTAGCTTTCACTAATCTGTGCAGACTATTTGACTTGCAGATAACGCATCCTTTAGAGAGAGGTAAGTGGCTCTAGAGGGGATAACAAATCACAGCAAGGATTGTTCATTCATGTTGAGTATATCTCACTGGCAACTTAAAATACAGCACCTCTGGAGGTGCTGCCTTTTTCCTGCACAACCTGTTCATCCAACAACTTAAGGAGCTCTTGCCCACAACTGGCTTCTTTAATTGTAGCTGCTTTGATGGCACATCCTTGACCAGGCCCTTGGCCCTTCCTCCCCCATGCACAGAGGATAGCCAGCATTTGGAATTGGGTCACAACTCCGCTCATCAACTCTGTTGATCAACACAACACATGAGCTCTCAGGACTGCACTGCTAACATCTGCTAGAACAAAAGCAGGTAGATAACTTGAGGAAGATGTAAAGTGCCAGCACTTCAGCTTCTTTCAAGTCCATGCAGGTAAGACCTCACACAGGGTGAAATTGTGATTGCATGTGCTCAAGGTTGCCCAGGCTAACACAAATCTACCATCCCTCAGTCACAATTTTACTTCTTTGTCTTACTCCTCCCTCTTTTCTGTTATTGCCAATTCACCTGAAATGTTCTAGCTGTGATTTTCTGCCAAAGTGTAATTTCTCCCAACAGCCTGAGGGATATCAAACATTTAAGAAATGTCTGTTTCTAAAGATAGAGCTGATCTAATTTCTTGGAAGTCTTCCTAATGATTCTTTGAAGTGCTGTAAGCCAAACATGGAAATTATGGCTAAGCAGCTTTTGAACAAGCATGCTTTTGAGCAGTTTTAGAGCATATTATCTTGTTATTAATAACACTTTTCATTCAGTTTCCCAGTCACAATGGAATGTGCTTTAAATTTGTGTGAAACTGGTACCCTGACGTGCTTTACTCGAGAGCTTTACTTCTTTGAGGTGATTTAAACTTTCAGCTCCTCCTGTAGGAATATCTGCAACATCATGGCTCCAACACAGACCCTCACAGCTTCTGACACAGGAACCACTTAGGAAAAGACAGACACAGTAAGCTTTCAGCAGCACCTGCACTGTGTTCAATTAACTACTTCTTACAGTTCAATAAAACTGTCATTTATCTCCATTTATACACTGGAGTCTCACCAGTATCAGTTTGGTGTGTACTTCCATAGAATTCCTTCCTAATCTGTACAGCAGTCCAGATTTCCTAAGAAACAGGTTTTGAGATGGTAAGAAAGATGCTTGCAGTATTTCCAAGTCTCACAGGAGGCTTCTTTCTTCCCAGGAAGAATTGGTTTCAAATTAAATCAATCTTAGAAGAAAAATTCATTAAAATAGTGCAGTTTCTGTGAATAAATAAGGCAAAAAACTTTTCAAGAGACACCAAAACTTCAAAGTTTTCCTTGCTTATGTCTTAACCTCCAACAAACTTCCTTCCTTCAGGGAAGCCATCTGTCTTTCCCTGTAAGCAATGGGGAAGTAAGCGTGTCAGCACCTTATACATAACAGTCAGCACTGTGTTATCAGCTGAATCCATGATTTCTCATGAAGCACTGCTAGCCTGACTCCTAAGATCAAAGTGTTCTCTGCCTGACTGTGCAGGCAGGGAGAATTTAAAGGAAAGCAATAGTACAAGGGTACAAAATAATTCAGGTACAAAACATTCCCCTGGCAACACTAGGAAATAAATCACATAAATAATAATGGCAAAATAAACCATTCTTCAAAGGAAACACAGCTGAAGGGAATGAAGCAACCAGGTATTTTTACAAATGGTGCTTTACCAGTGACTGCACAATAAGCTTAATGCTGGCATTTTTAAAATCTTTGACGCACACATATTAATTATACATTCAGGACCAAAGCATTGGCAGTGTCCTTGTTGTATTTGCAGCCTATGTGCATCCCCAAGTGCCAGGAAGATAAAAGACATATTCATATGTTTGTTCAAAGTTCTGAGAAGGCAAACTACCCCTTAATGAAATCCATTATTTCTAGGGCACAGGTTTCAAAAAAGACAAGGGACACCAGTGCTTGTGACACAGATGGTAGATGCATCTTGCAGCCTAAGGGCCAGGGCAGCAGGAGGTGAAGTATGTCTGTGCCTTCTCTGGAAACATCACACCTTAAAAGTAAACAATGAAAGAGAGTATTCCCTTAAAGACAACTGGCAAGAAACAGCTAAAACAACACTCTGCATAAACATATGCTACCAGAAAAACATTCTATGCTTAAAGCCAGAATAAAGCCATGACTGGCACAGCCCTTTATCAGGGTGAGCTTCTGCTACAGCTAACACAAAGGATGATCCATCAGATGGATTCTTGTCTGATTTTGTAGCAGGCTCTTTTCTCACCTCTTCATCCTCAGATCTAGACACATTGAACACCAGGGGATTTGCTACCCAGAAAAAATATCAGCTATGGAGCTCACATCCAACTCCAGCATACCACGAGGGAGCACCAAAAGTGTGACATAAGAGAGTATGCAAAGAGAGTGGTTCCCAGTCAATGAAATGGAGACACAGAAGTTTAAGCGCCTTGCTGTAGACTACCCATAGAATCAGCTTTTGAACAAAAACTTTGACTTGGGAGTTGCAAAATTGTGGGCTTTGCCCAAAATACTCAGTTATTCTTATTGTCTGCTTCTAACAGAAGATGCCTTACAAAGGACAAAGCATTTCTGCTTGAGGGCACAGTTTCCAGGAGCAATGCTGGCCATTTTTATCAGAGGTAGCTAGTGCTGACAGGACTGGTCATCATGCAGCAGAATAAGGAGAAGACTCATACCTATCCAGTATCTCTGGGAGAGGTAAGATCATCCACTGCCACACTCCCAACCCTTCGCTGTTCTCGGAATGCCAGAACGTCCAGCTCTGCTCCCTTCCTGTCTTGTTGTCCATCAGCACCAGGGATACGTTTCCCAGCAGGACACCGTGGATGAGCCACGACATTCGTAACTGGAAGAAACAGAACATATGAGATTAAACATCACAAACGTCATTCAAAAGTTAACAAAGTTATCAGTTCCTCTTTCTTTGCTTTCTAATCACCAAAAAGTTGATTCTTCCATTCTTATATAATCCCTTTAGGAAACTCCACAGATGTGGAAGCCTGTTATACCTTTATATGCTATTGAACATTGAAACTACTGGCCTTTTTTGTTTTATCTTTGTAGAGTTGAGTCTAAACAGTCTGCTTTACCTTTCACATATGTGTCTAATTTTACAGGGATAAGATTATACCTCCATTTTGAGCAGTACAAAGACTACACGCCCCTAAGATACCACCTAAGAGATTCAAGTTAAGACTAACAACTTATTCACTAATACATTTTTATATTCCAGCAGCAGTAGCAGCAAAAAAACACAGGGAGAAGACTGCAATAAGCAGGCATCACTAGTAATCACATCCTCATCCCCCAGATACTCTTTTCAAAAATCAGTTTTTACTTTCCATCCAAGTTTCTACAGATTTTTCAATTAAAGTTCAGTAATAATTTGGTGGGTTTTTTATTAATTAAAATACTTCAGGGAACCATTTTTCTAACATTGCTGTTATGATAATATAATTTAATCCATTTCTATGTGTTTATCCCTGTATGTAAAATTATTTCATGTAGTTTTCTCATTTTATGACTTTCTCTCTCTCACTGTATAAAAAGAAAAACAATTCCTTCCACATCAGGCTAGCTTCCCAATCCATAGTATATGAACACAGTCTTCTTATTTTCTTGCAAAAAAGAGGAGCTAGCCCTTTGTTGATAAAGAGCACAGGTAAAACACCCATATCCATATATATTCTATTCAGGAGCTGGGTTTCATATCAATAACCAGTAGAGGTGAGAATGCTGAAGGAATGAGTTTATTAAAGCTACATTAACGATGGATGTTTTGGATACAAGAAAGTGTTCAGCACAGAATCTAGTATCCATACATATTAAGTAAAGCACTCTGGTTTTTAGCACTTCAAAGCCACCACCAAATTCAGGAGGCTCGGAATTCAGTTTGTATTTTACAAAGGAACACCTGATAAAATTACTTCCTTGCTTTGATAGCACAGAACATCCATATCCATTTCTCAGCATAAAACAAAACTGCTAAATTTTGCTTGCCGTTCCTATGTCATGGTGTAAGTCTGTTCTGGCAGCCAAATCAGATGCAGGCATCAAAGTGACAGAAGTGTTGCTATTATTCCTAGTTTATGATCACCATTTTGGAGTGGGTGGAACAAAATTCTGGATATCCATTGTATTAATTATCAGTTCTGAATCTGGGTAAACACTACAGTTCATCTGCTTGTCTCCAAAGCGACAAAGAAAGAAGTGACTTTATACTGCAAAACTGTGATAGAGACTGAATAATCTAGATGGGGCCCTTCTTTCTCTCCAGTCCAAAAATCCCTGGACTTGCCTGGAATCCATTGTGCTGTATGACTCAAGGATTGATAGATTGATAAACAGATATGCCAGTTTGTGTCTGTGAAAGCATTTTGTTACAATATTTTGGCCACACATCCTAAATTGATGTGTAAGATTTTGTGTGATCCAGCAAACCATCGCAGGTGCCCACAGCACTTCTGGGGACAAGCTGGTCAAGTCTGGACTCTGGTCAAGTCTAACTTCCAGCTCACTCCCACCACAGTTCTGGGCAAGGATTCATGGAGTCCCATGACTATTTCCACAGTGTCAGGCAGTGGAAACCACAGCATCAAGTGTGAGGATTTTTGCCTCCCAGACACCAGAGAGAAAAAGCAGAGTCGAGCAGGATGGCCAGGAAGTATTTCAGATTCACAACATGATGGCCATGGAGGCAGCTGAGGAGGGCTGAGTCCACACCCAGCAACCAGAAACAACACTGGTGAGAGAGGCTGCTGACAAATGCTCATGGTATAGGAGGCTAATGCCTCCAAACTTGGTGTCTGCGTGGCTGCTCCTAACAGGTGACAGTCAAAATGTTGGGTATTCTATATTTTCAACTGCCTACAAAGTGAGGCATTTTTTAGTGTGAATTTAAAGTGAAAATTTATACCTTTCAGACCCAGTAAAGTAATTTTCCTTGAGGAAATTGATCAGGACTTAACTACTTGTTTTAATAAGTTTGGAATGCCAGTGGATATTTTAAACCCTCCACTTATACCAGAGAAAGCAACACCTCTTACTGAGACTCCACATGTCCACTTTTAGAAGCCAAGTGCCAACTCCCCGTGCAATACACTATATGACATTTTTAATACAGGTGAGTTGGAGCAACTTCACTGTGCCATTTTGGTAGTTTAAAATTTGACAGGTAAAGCAGAAGAGCAGAAGCTTCAGAAAGCTTTTAGGCAGAAGCTTGCATACCTCTGTCTTTTCTGGAGACCTGCCAGAAGGTAAGAGGCAACATCTATATGGTAGGGAGTGAGGGAAGAGAGAGCCTTTGATAGCTGTTAACGTAACACTAGAGCAAAAGCTGAAGCAATTGATGGATTGGAATGAATGCCTTTGCACACATGTCAGCTGTTTGAAGGAAAGAAGTAGCTGGCAATAGATGTGGGAGATCAGCTCATTGGCAAAGTGCAATATGCAAGCTCTAATGAACTGGCTCTGAGTGAATCGACTGGCACTGTGTCCAAATGGGCATTTTTGGCTGTGATTTCCATGGTTTCTAAGCTTCACAGCAGGGCAGTCCAGGTCTTTTAACACCTGCTGAAGTGAACCAGAGCAGATGATGAGCTGGATACCATAGTAAAGACTTCTGAATGGGGCTGGCATTCATTCTGTAGAATACAGCATCAATGATGGCAGATGGCACTACATACACAGCGCACCCTGCAAGCAGAGCAGTGGCACATTTGGAAAAATCTAAATCTGGGCTGTTGGTGGAATACCCCAGCATTATGCATCAAACATCTCCCTCTGTGTTAAACTTGCAGCACAATATTCAGAAGCTAGAAACATCACTGAGAAATTAATTAAGCGTAGAAGGTAGGCAGTGGCTCAATGGCACCTTGCTTTCTGGCTTTAGAACCCAACAGAGCTGCTGATCAGCTGTTCACATGCAAACCCACTGACTCAGTAAATGAAATGGTCTAAATTGATCTGGGGAAAATTAACAGGAGGGAGAGCCCATGGTAAATACACAGCATATTGAGGCAAAACTCAGGTCAGATGGCTACATGTACTATACTGCAAACACCATCTGGAAAGATGCCTTCTGAGAATCCCCTTAGCCTCTGAATTGGTGGAGTTTCTGAACTGACAAACAGGAGACTCAACTCATCCCAGAAAGAAAAAAAAAACCCCAAAATGAATCCTTATCAATATCAACAGGCCTTGGCAGGTGAATAAAAACAAGGAAGGTAGATTTTCCAGCACAAGCTGCATAATTTCAAGACCACTTGAGAACTGAGACTTCCATTTTACTTCCTTATGCAAAAAAAAAACCAACCAAACAAACAAACAAAAAACAAAAAAAAAAAAAAACCCCAAGAACCTTCTGGGTGAAGTTTGAACTTGCTGACACCTGTGAATCTACTTTAATGGCTAGAAACATTCCAGCATAAACTATCTCTGAGATGCCTGACTGAGGACCAACGACACACACTTGCAGCAGCATAAATAAAACATTCTGCAGTGACACTCTGGAGAGCTGCTCTTTCTTTTTCCTCGCTTTCTGTATAGCAGTGATGCTGACTATTAGCATTATGGTCCTACCTGGCAGGAATAGATACTTGGCCATCTTTAACACAAGTGAAAAAAGGAACCAGAAAAGAAAAACATACTTCAAACAGGGCTTAGAGTAAAGTATTTTTAAGAAGACAGAGAAGAGTCTACAGACATTTTCCTCCCAAGGAACTGCAGTAGCTGGATCTCACTGGTAGCTCTCTGGCCAGCAACACCTCAACTCTAGACCACAGGTTTTCATCTCGTGAGGCAGCACATCACTTAATTCTGATGCCAAGTCCTTGCTCCCTGCCTCCATGATCATGCTCAAAGGAATTTCTCAAAATTTGCCTGACAAGGAACAGTGGATTCTTGAAATGTAGACATTTAGTCTCCTAAAAAACATTACTGTTTCCTTGGGTCTTCTTTACTGGAAGGGAAAGAATAGAAATTGTTTTCAGCTGTGAATGCACTGACCCAGTAAATGTAGGTAAGGTATTAAAGGAGCTTGGAAAACATCTCACTGTTGAGGAGAAACTGAAGTTGCAAGTTGGAATATGATTTGCACAAAATTAGGCTATAGCTGCAGACACCTTTGCCAAGTCTCAGCAAGCCTTGTACATGAATATGAGCTACCTCTGACATGTGAAGTTTATCATACTGATGGTATTTTTTTTCTTACTAGAAATGAGAAATGGTTGCATACAACAGTACAAGCAAAGACATCTATTACCACTGTTCAGCAATTCAGGCTTGGACTCTTATGAATAATAAAGAGGATCAAAAGGTCTTGTTCCTGGTTTTTGGCCAGATCTACAGCAATGCATGATAAAGACTCTCTTGTAGTCTGCAGACACTTCTGCTTTAGATGAAGACTCAGGTGTGAAAGCAAAAACCTTTTGTAAATGATAGAATTTTAATTAACTGATCTGATTATGTAGCTTTAAAATACCTAAGCCGGCAAGAGAAGCTCATGTTTTATATTCACAGATTCTCCCACTATTTATTCTCACATTATTTCTTACTTTATTTCAGAAAACAGACCAAGAGAAAAATAAAAGCAACAACTAAAGAGAAAGTGTTCAGAATTTTGCTGTCAGAGGACTGTGGAATGACCAGCATTCAAGAAATTTCAGATGCTATAGACCCTCTGATCCAACAACACAAAAGCCAGGTGGGAAAGGGAGCAAGAGAAGACAGATGACAGTAAATAAACTGTATACATATTTAAAACAACATTTTAAAATAAAAAGTATGTTAAGAATGTTCTGCCAAATAAAGCACATGAAAGGCTGAGCTAGAGGCATATCTATGTTG